GAAAGCAACCTGATTTTAGGAGTACGATCCTGCCAAACTACTGATGAGAGCACAGATCCAAATATTACGATCTTACTATACTCTCAAAATTAGGAAAGAAGAGCACTGGACACAGCATTTTCATTTTATTACAGCTGGAAAGAAGACTCACAGAACCTAACCAAACATTAGACGTAAAAAAAATGCACTTTAATGTCTTGTTTGCTTGTTTGGGGAACACACCGGCTGTGCTCAAGGCTTACTCGTGGCTTTGCACTTAGGGATGACTCCAGCCAGCTCAGGGGAGCTATATGTGGTATCAAGGATCGAACCCAGATCTTTTACATGCAAGCACCTTACTAGTTGTATGATAGCCACAGCTCTAAAAATGTATTTCCAGTAAGAATAACCAATTTAGCAGAGGCAATAAAGATAACACTTCTAGAGTAAATTGTTTTGTTTCTCAGAACAGACCTTTGTCCTTATTATGAATTAACCTAAAAAGAGAAATTAGATGCAAGGAAAAAAATAAAGCATTTTTGCTGTGAATTCCTGACACGTTCACCTTCCCTTTCGCTCCATATATTTTGTTCCAACATTATCATAATACTTTGATAGTTATAAAGAAATCAAATCAACCATTATTTTTCCTTTTAAATTTCCTACCAAGTATAAGCTAAACATAAGGTATGTTGGATATATACACAAATGAAAGTGCTATAAATCAAAAGAGTGTTTTTATATCAAACCCATCTGGTGTTAGATAAGGGTGTGTCTCATGGAAAACCAACCAAGGATGACTGCCAGGCTAAGCTATAGATGACAACTTGACAACACAAAAAGCTGGAGAGTCCCATAATAAGCGATATTTTAAAAACTGCATGAAGGTATCAGTCTAACAAGATTCTCTGATATCACTCCACCCTGACAGCAGCCCTTTCTAAATCTGAAATACTCTTGAGTGGGTCAGGACTGGATATGGATATGGAAGTTATCCTAAGATAATGACATTAAAAAGTTCCATCAGTTAGGTGATCTAACTAATCCACAAGGTAATAACACAGTTTTATTCTCCAATCATGACAATTTCATCCTTCTTCTAAGGGACTTAAGGGGCTAACTGATTTCTTCAGAGCTTCACTTCCACACAGGAAAAATGTAAATCATAACATACTTCATCTTTACTGGGTTCTAAAATTGGAAACAGGCTAAGGGAAAAAAATGAATGTGAAGCACTCTGAAAGGAATAAACTAGATTCCCTGACCTGATTATTGGTCAGAGTCTTGTAAAACTAGAATTACTACTTCTTCCAATTCCATACATGCCACCTGGCTATCAAACTGACTGATAAATAGAACTGACTATGAAAGTTATCCATGTAAAGGTTTAAAAGTAATAGAAACGAAACTTATATCACAATAGTCAAATTTAGAGATCTTCAGAGAAAGACACTTGTGTGTGTGTGTGTGTGTGTGTGTGTGTGTGTGTGTGTGTGTGTTTATTAAAAGCATTTTGAAAACAAAATAGAAAAGTCAAATTAACTACCATTTTGGGGATTCAAAATGTTTTCAAAACATCAGCAGCTATAGCCCTGTTAAAAACTGAGGCTGAAGCCACTAAACAAGAAGTGGAAATGAGCTAACCCAGAAACAGATGAAATCACAAAGTAAGTCACATCGATGGGCCGAAATACAATATGGATTATTTTTATATTGTTCTGTCTGAGTTGTCTGTCTCAGATTCTTAACTTCCAGATTCTATTTTTAAAATCACTTAACACTGTGTATTTCCAGTAGCCATCAAGAAATATACTGTCATTCCTGACACCGAAGATTGTCAGCAGACTCAATATGTACACTAATGATCTCAGGCAACAATGCCCATCTTCTTATCAAAGAGATCCTTATTACAGAAGAAAAAAAGGTCTAAAACTTTCCAAGAAAATTCATTTGAACACATCATAATCATTATAAAATGGTAAGATCATGAATACTTCTTTCTTCTTTTAAAGATTATCTTACATGCTCAATTGTAAAACCAAAAGTTGTCAGGCATTATAACATTTTCAATTCTCTCCTAAATCATCAATGTATCCTTTCAGCACTGTCAGACAACGATAGCAGGAGTCATTATTTTTTATAGGATAGCTGGCAGCATCTTGTACAGATACCCTTCATCTTAGAATAGTTATCAAATGAACTAAACAAATGACTAGGACCTTAGATTGAAACTGACCACTTTCCAATAGCCAAAAAAAAAAAAAAAAAATGGGTTAACACATCTTCATTGCCTCTACGTTGGTTATCTTAGATAAATCTTCATTGCCTCTGTGTTGGTTATCTTAGATAAATCAACAACCTTCACTGGTATTTTCTAGCCTTTTTAAAAATAACTTTACTTCCCTTACACACAAATTCCTGTCCTCTCCGTATTACTTTTGAACACAAACTTATTCTATCAAAGGTTTTCACATCAACTTTTAGGTTCAACACTTTTTATCAAAATTGCAGCTCTGTCTTTGGAAGCTACTCCTCTTCAGGAGTACATCTGAAGATATAAAATAATGTAGAAAATAAGGTATTTCCACTGAGAAGGCCAACAATAAATGTAAAGGGATTTGGGAAAACCAGTCATTTCTGAGCCAAATGACTTGACACATCTCTCTCTCTCTCTCTCTCTCTCTCTCTCTCTCTCTCTCTCTCTCTCTCTCTCTCACACACACACACACACACATGCACGCACACACACACGCACACACACAAAGAAATTATTCCAAGTCACAGAAAATATCTGAGCAACATCTTCTAGGTGTCCAGTATTGGCTTTGACTATCTGAAATGCTGGTCTTCTCCTAGATCTAACAAGAGGAAAAATGGGTATCTTCTGCATCTAACACCTAAGTGGGTAACCTAGATACTGTAAATAGAGGCTACATAAAGGATGCAAAAGACAGCCCTGAAGTAAGAGCCAAAATATTTAACCTGAAATTCTTTGAAAAAGAATATACAAATATGCACAGCTTAACGAAAACTTTACCAACACGGAATTGTCATTGGCTAGTAAATTGAAAAAAAAGTGACACTTATACTAAACATAATTTATTTGCTATTGCGTAGGGACAACAAAAAACTCAACTGTTTTTGCAAACTTCTTACTTGTCTACATTGATCATGATTTCTTTCTGAAAATTTTATTTAGAATAAATGGGTGGCTATCTTTTTGCAACAGCAAGTACTTGTAAAACCAAACCAAATTTACTGAAAAAGGGAATCAAGGAATCAATTTAACAGCATTTTCTTGCTATTTTAGTGGTAGTTAAGGAATGATAGTAAAGTCTATGATTAGCTGCAGTTATTTACTCCATATTGTCAATTTTCTAAAGCCAATAGTTAAAACAGTATTATTCTAGCTCCACTCTCTGAATTTATAAGAAAATTATCAGAGTAATAAAAATTCAGTTTACCACGGAACCAGAAACATTAAAGTGTAAAATCTCATGTTTCTTATATAGTAGTAGCAGCATAACTTTTATCAAGTCTGTCGCCAAGTAGAAAAAAACAAAAAAAGCAATAAAATCCATTATAAAAGATTAGCACTATACTTTCATATATATCCACTATTTTTTCTCTAAATGATGAAAAAATTTCAAAGAAAGCTTCTTAAAATAAATCTTCCTAAGTGCTTCCCATTAATACAAAAGGAAAAAGAAAAACCTTTCAGATAAGTGAATTTATACTGGTCAATAAAAAAATTTAAGTAGCTAGAATCACTTGTTAATGAATTGCAAAATATGTTCAATACTTTTATAAACCTGTGCTTATAATTTAAATAAGTCTTCACTAGAAAGAAAGCTAGTAAGTTTATAATAACCCTAAGTTTTGCAGAACTAGAGAAGCAAAGTAGAAAAGAAAATGTGCTCTCTACATATATCAACTCAAGACCATGTTCATAACTCAGTAGATGATTCAGCTTTTGGTGTTTTCAGTTATCTAAAAATTTTTAAAAAGAAAGAAATGGTTTTCCTTTACCTATCACCCCAACAGAAAACTTTTAAATTAAATCACATGTACACAAATGTCATTTCCATATAAAAAAGAGTACATACCAAAACTACAAGGTGAACACAAGATTCCAAGTTATGTTTTAGGTAAGAATGAGTTTGGACGCTGAGTCTAAAACTGACAATATAATTATAAGGAATGAAATGATATTGTTAATAAAGTATTTTGTCTTCTTTAGTGACTATAATTAAACTGTTCTTTCTTTTCACAAAAAAAAAACATTCTTAACTATGTCAACAAATGACCCTTTATCATATCACAAATAGAAACAACTGTCTATTTCCACAAATGCAAAACATCCCTCCACGTTGATATACTTTCTAAAACAGAATACTTTTATTTTGCTAAAGAAAGAACAATAAAATGAGGTTCACAAATTTTCAATGATACTTTCCCCTCCAATGCCTTGGTAGTGAAAATTTGACAAGTCAAAAATAAATAAATAAATAAATAAATAAACAAGCAAGCAAGAAAAACTACAATCCAACCACTGCTGAGTTAGCTTTGAAACCAGGCAATATTAATTTTTAAAATTGGGCTTTTTTTTCATTGAAAATCCTTTAGAAGTGATGCGTTTCCATAAATAAATATATATATTTGTGAAATAAATATATATATATATATCCAACGATATCTACCCAACAACATAACTAGTCATAAACCTGGCAAGTAAAAACGATAACCAGCAAAGCCTCACATTTCTTACCTGAAACAGGTAAGCACCAGCTCCCAAATGCCACCTTGGGATAGTTCAGACTAGTGAGCAGGCTCATGCTTTATGGTACTAGAATGAACAGGAATAAAATCTGTGGCGTTCTTTCTTTAGCAAAATCTATAGCAGCAGCTACACCACAATGCAAGAGGACCCCACAGACCTAACAAATTCAAGTCGGTCACTAGAGATATTGGTGGGGGAGTGCGGGGGGGGGGGGGGGGGGAGAGTAACAATGAAGACTTACTGCTTGTCATGTGACTCGGTGAGACATGCTGTCCATTGGGTGTGCTTGAGGTAAGGTCAATGGCCACACTGGCGTGCTCCCTTTCAGGTGAAAGCTCATTGTCACCTGCTTTCACAAAATAAAATCTTTTGGTTCTCTGCTCATTGTCACATGAAATCTAATTACCAACTTTGCTTCCTACATGCAGTGACATGCAGTGTTGAAATTTTAATGTAATACATTTTCCCTTAAAGGAAATGATAAGGAAATATCATTTAGAAATAGATAGTAATTGAATGAAATGAAGAAAAGACACAAAGCAGTCCAGGTAATAAAAAAAAATAATAATTACAAAGTTTCATTATTGCAATAATCTTAACTGTAAAATAAAAGGAACTGTCTCAAAAGAGTCTTTTTGTTGAAGAAGTAAGTTTTCTCTAGCAGTTAAGCATATAGTATCTATAACCAGCATTCTCCAAAGGGCTTATTATCATAAATTGGAGATTTAAAGGAGAACCGGCTACAAAAGTCAACTTACAAAACTAATTCTTTCACAAAAGTGTTCAAAATATACAGTTACAGAGTGCTAAGTATTTAGCAAACACCATTAAGTCACGTAACTTTACCTATGCTCAACTTTAAAGTAAATCTTTAAAAAAAAATTAGTAGGAAAGTGTTGATTTGTTAAGCTATAATTGAATTAAAAATCCTTCATCTAGTGCTCAGGATATAAGTTATAGACAGCTAGATTCTTATTTCACTTTTGTGCTGTCACTTACTTAAAAACATATAAAGGTAAAATTGTGAACAAACAGAAATTAAAACAATTCTCAATTAAACCTTATATCTCAGATCTTAACACAGAGTTCTTCTGTAATTTTATTACCAAGAACAAATGAAGGAAGAAAAAAAAATACTTACATGTTATATAGCCATCAATAGCCTCTGTTTCCATAGTCAAAGTGCAGTGCTGCAATATAAAAGATTGTACACCCTTAGCCCAAAGATTCTTTTAAGTATCTGACATTAAATGCTTAACTTATTTGAAGCTCCAAGCAGTTAGCCCATGTTGCTGCTGCTGCAAACTTGTGCCCAAGAAACATACTATGGTGTACTGTATGTGCTCATTTGCAAGTCACTGAACTCTTTCTGCAAATGATCTGATTCCTCCTGGAGATAGGATAGGAAAGATAAGTGTGCTGTGAGATGGGCTGTAGCAAGATAGGAATGAGTCTCTTCATCAGAATTTACTGGGCTTAGAGGTTAAAAAAAAGAAGAAGAAGAAAGGAGCGAGGGGGTTTCTGCCTCCAGTGTGCCAGCTTTTACTGGGATTTAAGTATTTTACTATTCACTACTTCCCACAATCACACTGCAGTTTGAGCACTTCCCTAGTGTACAGATAGCTCTATTCACAATTGTTGCAAGTTGGTTCATCATGTTCTAATAGGGACGGGGGGGAAAGAACAAACTAACATTAAGAAAACAAAACAAAACACAAAAAAACGTAGTGCCCCAGTGTGCCCCGAACATTTCTCCAGCAGTTATCCAACTCCTGGATTGGTCCTGACATTTCAGCCTACCCCAAGCACTGTGTAAAGCACCTGTTCGATGTAGCCTTAGTCTCCTGCCAGACCATGATGGGAAACAAAATGCCAAAACTACTCGTACATTTTGATTTTTGCAAATTTTATCAACTTGTGGCTGTCTGGAAAGGAATCACTCTTTTTTTTTTTTAACCTTAAAGTTGAGGGAATTATTTTCATGGACCAATGAGACAAAAGCGGAACTTAATTCTCAGAAATAAAAGTAAATTGTATGAGATGACACCCCCTAGCTTTGATTTCACATAATGAAAAGATCGATAAAGCCAACTGTATTCTTTGAAGGAAAGAAGTTTAAGAATCGACATGTCCTGAGAAGATTTTTTTTTACTAATTTTTTTTCCCTTTGGCCCTGGTCCTTTTTGCCTTTAGTTTCAAAACTCTCACTGCACCAGCAGCTAAATTATTCACAATGAGCCATTTCTGTATTGATCGCCAAGTATATTTAGCCCTGGCTCCTGGAATTTCTCCATTACTTACTGGAAAACAGGCAGCTTCACTTCTTGTCTCCAAAACCACTTCCCTTCTCCCCCCTCCCCTCCCCTTCTTCACTACCACCCTACACACACACACACACACACACACACACACACACACACACAAACTTTTCTTTTTTCTTATGGATAATCAGATCAAATTCCCAACTCAGTCTCTACACATAGGACTTACATTTCAACCTGCTGTACTGTTATCAAATTCTTTCAATTTATGGTTACATAAGGCTTTCAAGAAAGGCATCTGTAAAGTTTAAAAGGGGAACAGTCTCTTCGGATATTTTGCAAATGAGTTTATCTTTTTCAAAAATGTCCACATTTAACACACACACATTTAAAAAAAGAAAGAAACGTCAGGGAGAACCGAAAGGCGTCTCTGTCCCATCAATGAAATGGTTATTAACCCTCAGAGAAGGAAAGAAAGGAAAAAGAAACGGAGATCGAGAAACGAAATGTACATACAAAAGAAATTGTCCTTTGATTAAAAAAGATTCATCACCATTTCCAGCTCTGTCGGGAGATCTCAGCTTCTTCTAACCCCTCAAAGAGGAGGTGACAATGTCGGGCTGAAGATAAACGGAGAGAGAAAGAAAGAAGTTTTTTGTGTTTTGCCCCTTCTCTCTTTCCCTCCCTGGCCCCTTTCACGCCAAGCCCCCTGCACAGTTCAAGGCGAGGAGGAAGGAAAAGCACTTTACAGGTGGGTCATTCCGAGCCCAAACCCAGCAAACAGATCGGCTGATAAACAAAACCAAGAAATGAGAGAGAAGGAACACCCCCCTTCTCCTCCTCCTCCTCCTCCTCCTCCTCCTCCTCCTCCTCTCCTCCTCTCCTCCTCCTCCTCCTCTCCTCCTCCTCCTCCTCCTCCTCCTCCTCCTCCTGCTGCCCCTCCCCCTCGTCCCTTTGGGATGGTCTAGTAGGAAAAGTCACTCAGGAATGGCACCACGTACTTTCAGGAAAGAGGAAAAAAGAGAGAGAAAGAGAGAGAGGTCAGTCATTGCTACAGCAATGCGATTAACAAGAAGAGAAAAAACTTGATCCACCGGTTCCTTAAGAATCGACCAAAAGCTAAGACAAGAAAACTGAAAGAAAAGGGGGGGGGGGGGTAACAGGGGAGGGACAGTCAGGCAGAATCCAGCAAGGAACCAAGGCCAACTTCACAGGACTGTTTTCTGGCCGTTGGCAAAAAAAAAGGGGGGGTGGAGGGACAGATCTTAATTCCATCCCTTTCGCCCATACTAGAACCTGTCAAAGTGATTTAACTGCTGCCTTTTTACATGTGTCATACCAGGTTGGATTTTTTTCCTCCTTAATTCTAGCAGGATCTTTCCGATCTGGACAGCTGCAATTTATGCCAGGCTACCCAATCTTTCTTGGAATTCAAGTTAAAACAAAGCAAAACAAGTCTCAATCCATGACAGCTACAGAGCTACAGAGATGAGAACTGATTCATCAATTACCACCATCCGAGAAACAGATAACCAAGAGGGGACGATAAATTAAGGCACAGGACAGCATCTTCACCCCAATACCCTGAGCGTCCTTTACAGAAATCATTACCCTAATCATTCACCGCAATCCATCCCTCCGAGGGGGGGGGGAGAAATGTTACATATATATATATATATATAGATGTATCTCTATTATCATTATGGGTTAACAGCAACAAGTCATTTTGATCACATCACAGTGCAAAAACGAGAGGCTAGATCATCACACTTAACTTTGAAAGCCCTCCCCTCCACCACACACACACACACACACACACACACACCCCTTTGCAAATAAGAGACACATATTTATAGATCATCTAGGAATCAGAAGACATCCTAAAACAAGAGCTGCTCTTCGCCACGCCAAAGCCAAGCGGAGATTTACCTCAGCCGTGCATGCAGTAAAATAATCCCATCACCCTTTTGTTTGTGTTTACTGTTTAGTGTAGCCTCTTTCTCTCTCTCTTGCTTTCTTTCCTTTTTTTTTTTTTTTTCCCTGTGCCTAACGTGTGTTTGTGCACTGCAGTGGGTGGTGGAAACTAAGGCAGTGGAGCTGGAGCCACGGGTAATCCTGTTTTTACTTCCTCCATCTTCAGCGAGGAGCAGGGTTAGCCCGGGACAGCTGGTCAAACCCCGAGAAACCGATCCGCCGCCGCCGCCGCCGCCGCCGCGGGAGCCCGAGCACATCTCCCCCTCGGGCCGGGCTCGCGCAGACGCCCGCGGGCGGAGGGCGGGCGGCGGCGGCGGCTGTGGCGGCCGGCGGGCAGCAGGGCCCGGGGCGCCGGCGGCCGGGCGTGCGCGCGCGCGCGCGCGTCTGTTTGTGTGTGCGCGCGCGTGTGTCCTGTGTCTATCTACATATATATATATATACACACACATACATATATATATGTGTGTGTGTGTGTGTGTGCGCGCGGGACGGGGGGTGGAAAAATGGACCAGGGACGCGAGGACGCGCGTGATATGTGCGTGTGTGTGTGTCTGTGTGTGTGTGAGTGTGAAGACGCGCGCGGGCACGCGGAGGCGCGGGCGCGCGTGGCTGCGCGCGGGGCCCGCTCGGCGCGCTCGGCAATCGATTACAGGACAAGTGCGGCCCCGGCGGCTCCGCGACGCGCGCACTCTTCTCCCCCCCCGCGACCACCCGCGCGCCCGGCTCCGCGCTGCGTCCCACCCCCTCCATCAGTCCCCGCCTCCTCACACCTCCACCCCCACCCCCAACCCTCTCCAACACACCCCCACCCCCTCCCCCCCGCCCCCGGGACGGCAGGCGGACCCCGCCCTCCCGAAAGGGGAACCAGGTAACCCGCTTCCGAGAGTTGCAACCCCCCACTCTCTGCCAGCGCCACTCCCGCCCACCAATGTCTTTTTTTTTTTTCTTTTTCCCCCGAGCGCCGTCCCAATAAAGCTCACGTTTTCTGCAGGCTGGGGTGCTGGAAGGATGGCAACGGCGAGGGGCGGTGCATGGCGGCGCCGCTGAAGTTTAAGTCTTTGCAACTGGAAGCTGCGGGGGAGGCCGGGAGCCCCGGGAGGAGCGGGACGGCGGCGAGGCGAGGCGGGCGGGCGGGCGGGCGGCCGCCAGCCACGGCGCTCCCGGGCTCGGCGTTCAGGCCGGAGTCGGGGTGTGTGCGCGCGGACCCACCCACTCGGGCTTTGCAATAAAAAAAAAAAAAATGTTTCCCCGAGCGGCACCCCCCCTCCCCCTGCTCGATCCGGACTGGAATCAGGACACCCGAGTCTTCGGGAGCAGGCTGGCGCTTGGAGATTCGGGCGCTCGGGGGAAGCGCCACTCTTCCTGATTTTGAAAGTGCTTCCCAGTGCAAGTTGCAAAGGAGAGAGTTGCTTTGGCTTTTTTTTTTTTCTCCCCTAAATCCCCCGAGCCGGTGCCACCTCCCTCCCTCCCGAGGGCTAGGAATGTGGAAGGGGGGGGGGGGGTGATACGCAGGGGAAGGGGGGGACGGTTCCAAAAAGTTAGTCGGACCACGGTGCCCCTTGATAGGATCGAGGAGTCCCCGCAGAAGATTTTTTGAATATGTGAATCACTTGTGTATGGATCGTCGTGAGAAAAATAACTGAGCGTGCTTTCCAGAAATAGTAGCAGTTAGCATCTTTCTTGACCACATTTGCAGAAAAGGGGAATTGAGAAGTCTATAATTAAAGGGAAAAGGAAAATGAAAGGAGCGGAAAAGACTGCACTGGGTAGTCTGGATGGCTGAAGTTTGAAAACACATGAAATTATCGGGACAGCCAAACATCCTTGCTGAGAAACTATCACAGACCGTGGAAAAAAAATATATATATATATATCAAGGTTTAAAGATTAGGAGCGGGTACTATGTCCCTCATTTTAAGAATCCTCTATATAGTTGCCTTGGGGTTTGAGGATGATTTTGTGTTGCCTTTTTTTTTTTAAAAGCCTCCCCGCTGAGAAAAGATACATTTGAAATAAAAACAGCCCTATCTTAAGCACCATTCTGGGAAACTTTGGATAAAGTCCCCAGAATCTTCTGTGGGCAGGAATTCATTGATAAATACACACTGAATAATACAGAACTAAAAATTTGATGATGTATTTTGAATTGTTTACATACACTAACTTTATTACACGAACGTCATATCAATAGGCGCATCTAAAACTAATTTTTCAGAAATGCTATTTGGGAAATACTGATCATAGAACTTAATAAAACCATTCTTATCCCATTGGCTGGCAAGATTATCATCATAAGTTTTTAGAAAATTGGATGTTCGTTATCTGGAAATATCCAGGATACTGCTGCTTTAAATTGCCACAGCCCCCCTGAAAGCTTTGCCTAATTGTGTAAAATTGTTCCAGTCTTTGAAAAGATTAATTAAAAGCATTTTCAAAATTAGCATGTATAGTTAAAGCAATTGGATTCTTCAATAGAGGAGGATCCGCCTTAAGGAAGCCTTAAGGATTCACCCTCAATTCCCCTCCCGCCCCCCAGAACTTCCTCTTGAGGTAGTCCTTGCCTGCGGGCTGGTTCTAGGTCTATTTAATCTATCCCTGTAACTTTCATTAGCTCTTTAGCCACCAGAGGCACATTCTCTCCCTCTAGTGGCCAAAGGTTCAGACACTGCATTCCTGTGACTTTGTCTCCCCAATAGTGGGGGAAACACGGGGCAGGCGACAATGAGTGGATATCACACTTGTCAAACAGCTCATGATCAGTTGTGTTCGTTAAACCACTTAGGGAAATTTTTCCCTCGTTTTAGCGTTCTATTTTTCTTTGCCCCTTTCTCATTTGCAGATCATGATATGTCCAATTCAAAGAAAGATTGCTCACGTACTAAAATTAAGCATTCTCTTTTATCCTCTGCTGTGGAGTATTCCTGCTGTGAAATTCAATGAATTCTACTTAGGGGAAGGAGAGTGTTTAAATTGTAGGGATTTGCTTTTGTCACAATCTCTCTCTCTCTCTCTCTCTCTCTCTCTCTCTCTCTCTCTCAAAAGATACACTGTCTTTCATCTTTGGTCATAACTACATTCTATGCACAATTTTAAAGTACATATACAGCTAGATTATGCATTTAAAAATATACTGCCTGAGAAGTACAGTGACTTAACTGCATCAAGATGGGAAAATTTTCATTTTGGTGAAGACACATACCCACCTTTACCATTTTTCATGTGTTCTTCTTTCATGTGTTCTTCATCCTTTCTGTCCCATCCTGTCAAAATTCTTCCTTTCTTGTACCAGCCCTCCTATAACACCTTTTACATAGTTTAATTATACAATTTGAATTTTTAAAATTCATTCAGTGTTTTCAAAGAAAAAATGTTTTCTCCACTAGAATAGCATTTTTTTTTTGAAAGGGGGTCCGCACCTGGTGATGCTCTGCTCAGGGGTTACTCCTGGCCCTGCACTCAGGAATTACTTGTGGCTGTGATTGGGGGACCATACGGTTTGGCTGACCAAACCCTTCCGCCTCATATGAGGCAAGCACCCTCCCCACTGCACTATTTCTTCAACCCCCAATGTCATATTTTTTAAGGGCAAGGATGATATGTGAACTGTGAACCACTGTATTTTGTTGTGTTTTTCAGAAGTAGCAATGCTTGACATGATTTGATTCTCAGTAAACATTTACTGAATGGATAAATGTGGAACTTATAGCACCATAGCACTGTCCTCCCGTTGTTCATCGATTTGCTCAAGCAGGCATCAGTAACGTTTCCATTGTGAGACTCATTGTTACTGTTTTTGGCATATAGAATGTGCCACAGGGAGCTTGCCAGTCTCTGCCCTGTGAGCAGGAAACTCTAGGTAGCTTGCCAGGCTCTCTGAGAGGGACGGAGGAATTGAACCCGGATCAGGCAAGAGCAAGGCAAATGCCCTATCCCCCGCTGTGGTATCACTCCAGCCCATGGAGCTAATAACATACTTAATTTCCATGTGTTATGCTCTGTTTTGATGGAGTAAAATGTAAGAGTTAAAAGTACTTTCTAATTGCACATAGAACTTGGTTAAATACTAGTTTGTCAATTACAAATACGATAGGTTAGATGTGGCTTATGGTTCATTTTAAAAATGTTGATCTTTCACTAGATACTACGAATTTTGCAATCCTAATTAATAAAACTGATGAAAACTATCAAAATGTAATTTGAAAGCTCATTGATGTGATTTCACTGTTCATAAACTAATCGTTGCATATTTATTTGCTTTGGGTTGGAGGAGGGAGATCCACTCTTGATACTAAGCACAGGGATCATTCATGGTGGTGCTCAAGGGGCTGTATGTGATGCCAGGATTTTTACCTGTAACATACTTGATAATTAATGAATCAATTTGGCTATCAAGGAATGAATTCAACAAATTAAATTATATAGCCATTAAATGGAATTAGCAAAAGAAAAAATCTGAAAGCAGTGCAACTAAAAGCAATCCTGAATATTGCTTTTACTTTCTTTGGGTGATTCATTTGGGGCAATGGTTTATCTGTTTTTGATTTTTAATCACAAGATTCCCTTTAAAAGGAATTTGAATGAAACTGGATTTCTGTTCAAAGAAATAAATTCATATCAACTGGAGAAATTGCTTTTAGCAGAGAATAGAAGAGGACAATTTAAACATGGGCAAGCTTTCCTAGTATCAAAAAAGAGAACATAATCCCTAGACTGGTTGCCCTAAAATAACTTGAATCTCAGGAAAAAAGTGCAGAGTAACAAGCACACTTTGCCAAATGTGTGAAAACTGATCATTTGTCTTATTTTTGTCCAGTGGTAGTGATCTCTTTGAAGTCCTGTTCTCTTTTTTTAGTGAGGAATGGGACAATGGTCTCCCTTTCTCCGAACGACCTAGATTGGCACTAAGCAGGAGCAAGAAGGCCAGAAAATGGAACCATAGTTTCAAAGAAAACACTAGAAGATATCAAATCCAGTTCAGAAGTAATGCATATTAA